CCGAGCGGTGGCTGGGGGCGACGGGGGCCGAGGAGAAGAGACTGCGCGCGGCGCTGATTCCGTTTGGCGGCGGGAGGAACCTGTGCCCGGGCAAGTCGTTTGCCATCTCGGAGGCGCTGGGCATGCTGGCGGTGTGGGTGGTGGGCTACGATGTCGAGGGGGCCCAGGTGCCGCGGGATACCGCGGCGCCCATGGCCAACACGATGAGGAAGCCCGACTGGGGGGGCAAAGACCCGGCTATCACGATGAAGCGGAGGGAAGAGTGGGAGGATGTCGAGTGGGGGTTTGTGGTGCACGACGAGACGCCGTCGTATTGAGGTTGCCTGCGGTATATGACATGCTACCTGAAGTTGTGGAGGGAAGGGGAAGGGGGTGATGTGGTGAAGCATCGAAGTGTGTTGGGAAACCTTGACGAAAAGAGAGCAATTCATCAATTGGATTAATAAAATACAATACAATATCACAGATATATATACTATGCCTACCATATACCCAACGGTGATATTGTTTTCATGCTTAGCCTGGAACTTGACTCTGCTTCCTGTGGTGGTGAGACTTGCTTGGAGTTGGAGTCTTGGAGTCTTGGAGTCTTGGAGTCTTGGAGTCTTGGAGTCTTGGAGAGACACCGCCTGTGCCCCAGGGGCTCAGAGTCCACTCGCCCGAACCGAGGCAACTCCCGAATTCCGATGGACAATATGACCTTCACCACGCTCCCGGCTACGCACTTCCGCCCACCACCAAAAAGGCGGCCCTCCGACCCAACGGCTGACGTTACCAATCCTCGACTGTATGAAAAACGGCCGCCTCCCTCGGCGACACGCGCATTCCATTGAACCAAGCCCACGGCACCACCCCCCAACACCGCGACACACAGCCAACAACAGCCTGGGCACTCAACCCCCAATCTCGGGCCATCACTACCACCCTCCGACCCCGCTCCCCCGAACCGAACCGACAACGTACCACTCAACCTCGGCAGCAAACGAACCAAAACTCCCCGACCTCCATCATCCAACAACAAAAAAAACCCCTTTCCTTCCTCCCTCACCACCACAAACCTCACCGCAACCATGCCCTCCGCCACTGCCTCCGTCCCCGAACCAGGCCCCACCCCGGCGCCCATCGCCTCCCTCCCCTCGGGCGCGCCGATCCCCACAGCCGCGCCCCCCTCAAAGCCCATCCCCGTCGGCGCCCTCCTCGCCGCGCTCCCCTCGCGCGCCGACGCCGTCCTCACCCGCCTCCACAAATGCCTCGCCACCCCCGCGGGCATCGACACCGTCATGCTCTTCGTCTGCTACACCTCGCGCCTGTCCGCCTCGGCGCTCACCGGCCTGTCGGCGTCGCCGGCCGGCAAGTGGCTCGCGCTCGTCCTCTCCACCCGCGCCTCGGCGACGCTCGCGGCGCGCCTGCGCGCCCTGTCGACGCTGCTGAGCGAGGCGCGCACCATCCTGCGCCTGTGGGCGCTGCTGGGGATGTACACGTGGGGCAAGGGGCTTGTGGGGAAGACGCTGCGCGGTTCCCCCGAGGGGGAGAAGGAGTCCAAGACGACGATGGTGATCGAGTGGGCGCGCCTGCTGTGCTGCGTGGGCCTGCAGGGGCTGGAGAACGGCGCGTACCTGTCGTCGCGCGGGGTGCTGGGGTGGACGCCGGCGCAGCAGGGGCTGGCGTACAAGTGGAGCGCGCGGTTCTGGGCGGCGTACATTGGGATTGAGCTGGGCCGGTTGTTGGCCGGGAGCACGGAGGAGACGGGGGAGTGGAGGAAGAAGGTGGCGAGGAACGCGGCGTGGATGCCGCTGACGCTGCACTGGAGCACGGATGTCGGGTTTGTGAGCGAGCCGGTGATTGGGGCGCTGGCGAGCGTGCCGGGGATTATTCAGATGAGGGATCTGTGGGCGAGTACGAAGTGAGGGAGATGGGGTTGTGTGTACGATTTGGGATGGAGAGGGAGGGGGGAGGTTGGCGAAGGCGATCGATCCAGCGTTCTTGTTCTATCTCGTTGTTTTTGCCTTTGCGAGAGCGGGTTGCTTACCAGTACATCTCGGGAAATCTAGCAGTTTATAGTCTCAGCACATAGGCCTCATTTCGTTTATTTACACCTGGTTGCTACGTTGCCATTGAGAGAGCGTTGCGGGACGTGAGGTCAGTACAATCATCTCAACGGAATAACCACAGCATGACGTATAGGTGGCCGCACACAAAATAGCACAGCACGTCAAGATCCCGGCATGTGTTTGGTATCTTTGATTTGGTCGTCTCATCGCCGCCACTTTTATGACTTTTGGCCGACCACCAGCTAGGTATCATCACAGACCCCTATTATGCTATCCCAAGGCCCCCCCTCGCAAGCCTCATCATGCTTTCATATGCACACACCTGCCAGCAAAATGTCCAACCATGGTATCAACCCGTTCCTTCGCCAACCAAGCCCAATATCTCCCACAGGCATTAATCCCCCCCCCCCCATCCACAATCCGCACTTCATCACGCCAACTACCTCGCTAACAACAACCCCACCGCCGCCGCGACATACACCACCCACCCCCCACCCTCCACTGCCCTCCCCACCCCCCCTCGGCTAACCGTATCAAACGGACTCCCTCCCCCGGACTCCGAGTCCCTCGTCGCCTGCGGCCGCCCCCCACCACTCGTCGACGTAGGCCTCTGCGCCGGCCTCTCCGACTGCACAAACGTCGGCGTCGGCTGCGCCGGCGCCGGCGGAGGCGGGAGATCGCTCGCGGGCGGCTGATCTTCCTCGGGCGGTGGTCGTGACCTTGCTGTTTCAGACGACGACAACGCCGTGGTTAGAGAACTGCTGCATCTAGTAGTAGTGGAACGGGGAGGAGGAGGGACAGTGGTGGTGGTGGTGGTGGTGGTGACGGCGGTTCTCGTACTGGGTTGTTGCGGCGCCGCCCCCCGCGAGGAGGGGCAGAGCAGCGGCACCAGGTTCCCGCGCTGGGCCTGGCCTAGGACCGAGGCCGACGAGGCGTCGACGCCGTCGCAGACGTCGACGATGCGGGACTGGACGTCGGCGATGCCGGCGACGCAGGCGGGCGAGCAGGCGGTGCCCGAGGTGAAGTCGCGCGTGGAGCAGCCGGCGAGGGGGGAGGAGTAGACGATGAGACACGCAATTGGTGTCCCGGACGACGTGATGAGCTGGAAGCTCGAGAGGGTGAGGGCCGAGGCGGTTGAAGCCATACAGAGGAGGGCGGTCCACCGGGGTGGCCGCGGGGTGCTAGGTCGTCTCATGGGGATGTGGCGATGCCAGCGCCTTGCTGGTCGACGTGGGGAGAGGTCGAAGAGGAGGAGGCTACCGTCGACGACTGGCTCGCAGGTCAAGTCGGCTGCTGGGAGGTCGCCTGGCTGGGTGGCCGCGCGGTGGGGTGGGCTGGCCAGTCTTTCCGTGATCCGTACACGTGTACGCCAGGATGGGCGCGGATCAGGGGCTCGCAGCGGGATCCGTGGGCGCAGAGGCCGCGGGTCGTCGTGGGAGAGGCGACGGCCTTGCCGAGCAACCCGAAACGGGGTGCGTCTCAGAGGTCCGTGGCGGCGGGCGGCGTGACGATGATGCTCTGTGATGATGCAATCCCAAGAGTCGAGTTGGTCAATGCGGCTGTGGAGGAGGTGTTCGCTTCAACCAGTTTGGTTCATGCCTTGGTGGTCATACGAGGCGGGTTGGTGGTGATGGGCGTTGCGATCGTCTGAAGGATGGGTTCGAGAATCCAGCCACGACTTTCTCCGGGAAGCCAGGAGGAACAGCGAACCAGGTAGAATGGCTCGAAGGGATATATGACGAGGTCTGGTGCGTTTGTCGTCGTCGCGCAGGGAATTGTCGACGGGAGCGGGAATCGAATGAGGAGGCGACAAGTGTGTCGCGGGTCTCCGAGAGAGTGAGGACGGGCAAACAGCAAACAGGCCCGACCAGTCAAAGGAGAACAAGAAGCGAAGAGAAGCACAGCTTCTGCAATGGCGGAGAGACGCTCTTCCAGAGGAGAGGGACGAGCAAACGAAACAAACGAACGGAGGGGGGCACCTCGACAGGGAAGAAGGTGGACGAGACGATATATTCCCCCCTACCTCCCTCCTCCCCCTTCACGGGCATGGCAACCCAACCCACCGACAAGCGCAGCGACTGTGCTCATCCAGGGGCAACCCACCTCCGCAGCGCCATGTGTGTGTCTTTTGCCTGTTCCCAGGGCAAGACATTCCCCAAGAACCCCTGGACGAGACGAGTCGACAACCAACCCCAACAGTTCGTCCCTCGTCCCCGTCCCAGCCCGTTTGCGTCCCATCCTCAAGATGTGGGCAAAAAAAAAGTGACAAGCGCACCGAGACCGACCAGTCAGGACTCGGCGTCAGCAACCAGCAGAATGTTTCCCGTCGGCGTGTTTCATGGCTGTCGGCCAATGCCACGAGCCGACAGCTCCCCTTTTGTCGGTAGCAGGCGACAGACGAATGAAGTTGGACAGAGGCGGTGCGAGGGTTGGAAACGAAACAGACCAGGTGTTTGAGAGACCCCGTGCAGGACCCCTTGATCGCCGTCTTATTGGCCTGTTCCGGGAGATGGCTCCACCATTTTTCCCTGTCGTGCTGGAAGGAGCCGCTGAGCCGCACGGGCCAGGGCGGTCTCTGACGAGACAACCCGAACCCTCGATGTCGACATCATCTCAGATCAACATGTGCAACCCGATGGTGAGGCCCGATGGCCGAGACCAGATTTTTCGTCTAGAGTTGGTTCGCTGCTGTCAATGAATTCAATCTTTACTGCTTCCTGTCGTCAGAGAATAAAAAAATACAACAAAAAAAAAAACTCGACCCACCGCCTGACCCACCACATCCACCACCCCAACACGAAGCCCCAAATATCCCCAACCCACTCCATCCAATTCCAGGTCCGGTGGTTAAGTGGTAGCATGTATCGTCACATCAACCACCCACCTCTAGGCCAGGAACCAACCTCCACACCTGATCAGCACTACGGTGAATGCTTCAACATTCACATATCTTCCGTAGTATAGTGGTCAGTATGTGAGCTTGTCAACCACTGGACCTTCCTTCCCAAAGGATTGGTCTAAAGTGGACATCGCTCGAGACCCGGGTTCAATTCCCGGCGGGAGAGTCAACAGGGTGGTGGTGGTTTCTTTTTGCCATATTTGTGCATCATATCATACATAGAAAACAAAATATAGATCTAGACCGAACCAGCGCCAAAACACATTATGTCCGTGTATTCCATATGTCCCCCCGGTCTTTGCCTCCACGCGCCGTAATGATACACAATAACAAACCCAGTACCTACTCAAACACATACATACCCTCACAAACATCTCATCCCATCATACACACTCACACTCAGCTCCTCTTCTGCCCCATCTCCTCCCCCCCAAACTCATCCCACTCGTCCCACCCCCCCTCCACCTTTCTCCCAACCCATATCCCCACCGCCGTCGCCGCACTCGCCGTCAGAAACCACCCCTCAAACCACCGCTCCACAAACCCCGGCTCCAGCGCGCTCTCCAGCACATCCCCGACCCCCCTCCCTACCTCCCTCGGCAGACTCCCCCTCAACAACAACGCCGCGCCCACCACATACGCCGCCGCGACCTGCCCCACCAGCAGCGCGACATTCGCCTGCGCGGCCCGCAGCACCGCGCGCGGCACCCACCGCCCAAACAGCCTCACCGTCTGCAGCACCGAGTTGGCGCTGGCCGCTAGGACAGCCCCGCTCAGGAGGAACGAGACCTGGCGCGCCCAGGCCGTCTGGTCGAGGCCGGGGAGCCAGTGGCGCGCGACGAGCGCGAGGACGCGGCTGATGGGGTCCGACGACGAGAAGGTCGCGAGCGGGGAGTAGGCGCGGCGGACCGTGGTGAGGGTCGTGGCGAGGACGCGGTAGACGCAGTAGAGCGCGAAGAGCGAGGTGGGGAGGGCGAGGAGGCGGCCGAGGGCGGTGCCGTCGCGGGCGTGCGCGGCGCGGCGGACGCGGAGGGCGGCGAGGGAGGTGGAGAGGTTGGATTCCATGGCTTCGAGGCCGGAGATTTCGATGTGCAGGTCGCGGATCTCGGCGGTGTCGCCGGTGAGGGTCTTGAAGGAGCCGAGCATCTTTCCGAGGAGGCTGGTGCCGGCCGGGGTGGGCTGGGTTTCAGCGGCCTTCTTCTGGAGGGTGTGTAGCCGGTGGCGTTTGGTGGCCAGCAGCTCGGTCGCGGCCTCGAGCCCACCCTGCTTGCGCGTAATGTCCGCGTCCGTGACCGGGCGCCGCCGATGCGACCGCCGATCCGCAAAGGTATGCCACGGAGTCGACACGCTCGCGAACCCCGACAGCAGCGCCATCAGCCAGATCCCAAACACCCCCACCCGCTCCAGACACGCCCTCGCCAGCCCTCCCTCATCGCCCCCGCCATCGGGCAACGCCCTCCCCAACCCCACCCAAAACACCACCAACCACCCCGCAAACAGCATCCCCAGCACCGCCCACGCCCCCCGCGGCACCCTCCCCTTGGCCGTCCGCTCAAAGCTCCACCACCCCGCCACCACGCTCTGCAGCTCCAGCGCCGGCACCACCCCCACCACGAGCACCAGCAGCCCGGGCACGGTAGCGCGCAGCGCCACGCCGCGGGCGCGGGCGCCGACCGCGCCCGAGATCTCGGCCAGCACCAGCTCGGCAAGCACGGCGGCGAGGCCGACGGTGGCACCGAACGAGGCGGCGGCGAGGCGGCGGCGCGGGGAGCGCGCGGCGTGGGACTCGTGGGCGTGGCGCAGAGCGGGGGGCGCCGAGGGCGGGAGGACGTGGTCGCCGAGGGGAGGGGCGAGGCGGGGGAAGACGCGGGTGGCGAAGAGGGCGGCGATGGCGAAGAAGGTGGCGAGGAAGGGGACGAGGGCGGGGAGGAACGAGGGTGGGGCGGGCGGGCCGCAGAGGGAGGTGCAGCTACCGCTGGCGGCGCCGGGCGGGGAGGGCGGCGGCATTGTTGGGTCTTGGTGGTGAGAAAAAGGAGGGGGTGGTAACTCCTGGGTCGAGGCGGGGCCGGGGCATCATACGAGGGTCAGTCAGGTCGGTCGGTCGGTCGGTCGGTCGGTGGGCTGTTGTGGTCTAACTACATGTACGCTGTCGTCGGACGAGATTAGGTTTAGTTGGTTTGAGGTAGAGTCGCAGGCTGGATCAGACTGAGGATGTAGGTGACACGGCTTGCCTCCAGACAGCGGGGTGTTTTGTGGGACGCGACGATGAAATGGGCGGTGCAACGGGGCAATTCTTCGAGTGTCATGCTCGGCAGGTTGTCTCGTTTGTATGTGCGATTGATAACTCTGCCGCTGCCTCGAGAAAGATGGATGCGAGGTCCACGTTTACGGAGGTGGTGGGTGGTTCAAGGGATGACGAACGACCACCTGCGCTAAACCCACCTGGAACGATGGAGGCTGGACCCCTGCGGCCCTGGGCCAACGCCATCCCGCCCCCGGATTTGGAGGCTCGGCATTTGGCCCCATTGTCACCCTGGCCCGACACCACATCCACCATCACATCATAGAACCTCATCAATGGCATCAAAATACGGATAATTGATAATCATCGCTTCATGTTGAGCAGAGATACCCTTCTACCGCCCAATCTCCTCTAGGTACATGATCCTGTCCAGTGAGGCCCCCCCCCCCATTACCCCCGCGCTGTCATAATTATGTACAGTATAGCCATGTACTCTGTATTCACTGCGCTCTCCGGTCCAGGACCTAGGCTGTGTACTTCAAAGAATAGTACCGGCCTTATCGCTGCCAAACCATGTACGCTTTAGCGCGCCGGCCTCGCCAGGGTCCGCCGCGATGGGTCCTCCCATCTTGATCGGATGCCGCCCTTGCCGCACCCATATTTGTCCACACTCGTCAACGAACGACCAACAGGGCCACCGGACATGAACGTAAATATCCCTGCCGTCGATCGGCCTCGTTGCTGTCATCGCTTCGGATCCTTTGGATCCCCGGCTAGAACCCCGTCGCTCTTCGCTCCGCGGACAAGCTTCTCCGCCCGACGAGACAGCCACTTCTTGACGCGCGGCTTGATGCTTCCTTGCTTCTAGTTTTTCGGTTTTGTCGTCGTCCGTGTTTCCTGGCCGTCGTCGTCGTCATCGTCGTCCTCGGGCTCGTTCGACTGCCCCGATTTGAGCAGGGCCTTGGCTTCTCCCACCTCCATGTCGTGCAGGCGACGCTTCTGCTCGCGCTCCATCTGCGCTTGCTTCTCCTTATTGAGGGCCAGCTGCTTTGCAGAGACGGGCTCGGCTTCAAACTCGTCGTCATCGTCGCCACTATCGTCGTCACCACTGTCGTTTGTCGCCGAGCGCACCGAGGGTGACGCCGCCCGCCTGGCCAGAGGAGAGTGCATGGGAGCGGGCGAGCTCCGACGCGAATTGCCTGGGGAGCTGCGCCGAGAATTGCTGATGTGAAAGGGCTTGATCGTCGGGTCGAACTTCGCTGGCAAACCAATGGCAGCTGCGACCCGATGGGCCTCCTCGTCCGGAGAGATGCGGCTCTCGAGCTCAAACAGACCGGAGTTCCTAGTGTCCGCCTCGTGTTTCCCGCCGTTGTGCTGCAGCATCTGGGCGTAGCTCTGCCTGTTGGGGTCCTGCGTCCGCTTCGACTTTTTCTTAAGCCGCTTCTCGTCGGGGCGGACCACCACCACCGGCACTGGACTGTACTGCAAACAGTACTTGGAAAACGAGCTTCGCGTGTTGACAAAGGCCTGGATTCCGCCAAGCGAGCGCCCCTTGGTGCCCACGATGAGCATCGACGGTTGGTACATTTGCAGCTGTTTCACAACGTCAGCATACCAAGACATAGGAGAGCAGGTCTGGGAGTCCAAACAACGTACCAGCTGCTGAAACGTGGCGTGGAGCTTCCCGACAGAATACTCGAGGACAATGCTGATAGCTTTGTTAAGCTCGTTCTTGGCCACAATGTGTTGGAGAAGCTTCTCGGCGTCGGCCCGGTAGATCTTCTCGCCAGACCGGGGGGCGTTTTCCAACACGTGAACGCATATAACCTCGTCTCCATCATCCACCATGTTGCTCAGCAGCCAGGCCAGTGCATGGTCCGAATAGGAATGCTCGTCGACTCCGACCATGAAGATCCGCGACCGTCTCGACGACTGGTAACCTTGGTGCTTGACGTGGAGCGTAAGAGATGACGTATTTTGTTTCGTTGCCTCGCCGGCAGGGAGGTTGTCGAACCCCACATGCTGCTTAAACCTTGGAGAGGGAGATTGCGTTAGCGCAGCCATGACACGAGAGTTGAGCAAGGCAGCGCTCAAGCCGTAATTAGGTTGGTAGAAGGACAAGAGCCGCGGTAGGGGGGAGACTGTGGGAACGGAAGCGCAACAATGGCCACTCGTCCACTGCGCGAATTTGAGTAACAAGGAAGGAGGGCCGCAAATAGCCGACAGGGGCTTTCCAACGACGTAGGTAGATGACGGTAAACAAGGCCGTTGGTGTGCATGCGCCTCGTCGTCTCGATATCGACAGCACCCAGCGGCTCAGATCCAGGTGAGGGGGCGGGGCAGCAGCCCTGACATGGTGGGAGGTGCTCTGGGAACCGCCATGCTAACGAGAATTCGGCTGGGGTGAGGATGACATGTCGGTGGGTTGCCTCGGTGGGGTCGCGAAGCTCGGGCGACGGTCTAGGCGAATGATGTCGTCCCGGATCGGACAGAGGCGGCTCTGCGGTTGCCATGACGCAGGTTAAAAGGCTCGCCGAGTTTCCTTTACCCGCTGCAGGGCGGCCTGCCGCGCGCCGGCCCCGTTTTTCGGGGATGTCTACTTGTTCGAATCGTCCAAGACGGAGCTGGCATGGGAGCTTGGGCCGTGGGCATCGCCGGGCTGCTGTGCCCCGCCCGAGTGTTTCGACGTCGGGCCGTTGTCTCCTGGCCCAGCGGTTGCGTATCGCCAGACGAAGCCATGTCGAGCTTCCAATGTCAAGATGACCTCAGAGGGCTGAAGCGCGCCCGAGCTGCCCTCTCCAACCCTTTCGCCGCCCTCTCCACGAACAGCGCTGACAATACGCCCAGAAAAACACACAAGCGAGCATTGGCAACCGGACATATCCCAGCTGTAATCGAGCACCACTTGGGCCAGTTTGGGGAAG